TATTTTTTAAACCGTGATACAACTCTTAAGTGCTCCCAAACTGATTACGCATTCCCATGGTACAAAATGAAACAATGTCCAAATATAGGCGTCATCCTTCTCGGCGCCGCCAACAATTTCAATATCTTTAGCCTCGACGCGGATTCACCATCGTTTAGTTTAACGACTTTGATCCTTAAAAAGAGCCATCTCTGTGTGTAAGTTCAATTTTCAATTAATCATTTTGAAACATAAGGTATCGGACGAGCCTTTACACGTTTTCATCTGGAAATCTTATAGGGAATATATCTTAGTGATTTATGACGTTAATGTGGTGGATGCCAACATTTTGTTATTTACAGGTCTATCATTCAAAAGGGTCAGACTTACTGCATATTTCATTATCTGTATCACCAATCATCTTTAAGAGGACCTTACTTTAAAAGCAATGTCTTTTGTGATTTCATCAATAAAAGAAGAGACAATTCTAATATCTATAACGGATTCCCCATTTTTCACGATCGCAAGCAAAGGTTACTAAATGTCTAGAAGGTTCTCATCAAGGACAGAGTTGTGTTAACTTCAGTGTCTATATTTATGATCTGGTTGGTCAGAAACATATTCTTTCAAAAGTAGATTCTGTAGATCTTTGCTCAAGTATCCTTTTTTTTGTTTTGTTTTTTGAACGCATAAGACAGATTGTGTTTTCAAAAAGTTTGTTTATAGTTATATACATGTAATTTTATGAAATATAGATCTTTTTTCTTTTGTGTCTTCTGAATGATTTCTTGGAAAATAAAAGATGAAAAAGATATTTACGACACTAATAAATGTATAAATCGTCTGACATTTCAAACAAAGTTGTTGTTGATGATGTTGGAAAGATAAATCAATTCATTGCACAGTGGTACATTCATTTTATATATTCAAAGACGATGAAAAGGTTCTTACGCTTTTTACTTGATACAATTTTAAAGCTGCATGATGTAGATGAGCCAAAGTATTTCAAGAAATACTTGAGAAAAATGTCCTAAGGTTTTAAGAAAAGTAAAAAGATTCAAGAGTCAAGTAATAATTTACATGTTATTTGCGGTTAAAGACTGATTTTGCAGCATTCATCACCATATTTCTACAGCACGACTAACTCCGTAAGGGCTTTTTTGCGGATTTCAACTTTTTTCTTCTTCTTAATTTCTATTTGAAAGACCCTGGTTTTCCCTATATTTCAAAAGATATGAAATAGAATATAGTCATAGAGTACAGCTACTTTGTATACTATGACGAACGCTATTGATTTGAGCCGCGTCATGACAAAACCAACATAATGGGTTTGCGACCAGCATGGATCCAGACCAGCCTGCGCATCTGCGCAGTCTGATCAGGATCCATGCTGTTCGCTTACAAACCCTATTACAAGTAGAGAAACTGATAGTGAACAGCATGGATCCTGATCAGTTTGCGCGGAGGCGCAGGCTGGTCTGGATCCATGCTGGTCGCAAACCCACGATGTTTGTTTTGTCATGGCGCGGCTCATTTATGTTATATTAGTGAGATATCAGTTATTAGTCTAACATTTTTCGGAGAAACCAAAACTCTGATGTTATTCTTATTGTTTCCATTTAGTAATTAAAATTACTTGTCGTTTCATTATTTAATAAAAGTAATTGAAATACTAGCAGGACATGATTTTGTTTACAGAAACTACAACTAAAAAGCTGGTTTCCTTGCCCAAACGAAATGCATATATATCTTTCCAGTTGCACTTTTGTGCTAGCTTTCTCAGTTACGTAAAAAGAGATCTATTTACATGACACTGGAAATGATAGCTGTGTAGAATGTACGTCTGTTTTTCATTACAGTCAAAATCTGATAAAGTCCTGATAGTTTTCCATGTATCGTCTGATTTATATATCCATCATTTAAAAATAAATTAATATATAGTGAATAGACATTTTCAATCTTTTTCTATTTATTACTGCAGCATATACAGGTGTCTAGCATTATAATATAATGAAATGAAAATACGCAGTGATTGATTACTGTCACACTATAAGGGCTATGGTTTAGAGAAGTGTTTTATAGAAAGTCGTAAGTCTAAAAGTCCTTGGCCGAATAGTTAATTTCGCTGACTTCATACTTCCTCCATTTCACCGCTGTGGGTTCGAATTCCGTTAGAATTTTGATTCTTTCATGTAGGAAGCTATCCAGCTAGCTTACGGAACGTCGGTGGTTCTACTCAGGAGCCTGAAATAATGCAAGGAGGGGCGCCAGAGGCTTTACTTCACCAATACAGCTGGAAAGTCGCAATATGACCTTTACTGTGTTGGTACGAGTAAAATCTTATTTTGGTCTTTGACTACAATAAAAACGTTTATTGAAACACTGTCTACAATAAGTCCTAAAGTTAGTCTTAGGTCATAGGACTTAGGATACACTTAGGACTTTCTATGAAACGCACCCTGCAGATGAGGAAACAGTCTTGCTAAGACCTGCTTGGATTAGCATGTATCAACGAATAATTATTGAATATATGCATAAAGACGGCTATTTTTCGATGAATTTGAATACGTAAAGCATAGATGCTTAAAGCTATCTTTAACTTATACAAAATCTGTTAGATCCACATATTCGATGATTGTGTACAAACTATATAACCTGATACATGTTAATAGATTCTAGCAATTCATTTCACTGTTGTTCCTATTCACAAATTTAGCCAGGAATATTATAAGTTTATTACCATCATCTATATCTTATTCTGTCTTTCTCTTTCTAGAATCTACATTATTCCCTAGAACATGTCAAATACACAGAATTATAATTACAATTATAAAAGTGATCTAGTTAGAAATGTTTATATAAGTGACATTTGACCAAACAAATCCATATAACTTAAAAAATACTACTAAATGTGAGATGTTCCAATGCTTCAAATATATATTTGTGACGTAAAACCCAATCAAACAAACAAAAAAATATATATCATCCTGATCTTAACCTGTCTTCCAGTCAGTTTTTGAATGATACTTTTTGGTTTATTTGTCAGATTGTTTGTAAGTATCGTACATCATTCTACGAAGTAAAGTACCGTAATGTCTCGTGTAAATTTATGACACCACAGCAATCTCTAAACCCTTAACTTGATCGACTGACAATTTTACACTTTTACAAATGAATTTAAGAGCTTTTCAAATCATTGAATATTGTACAGCTTTCATTACAACTTACAAATATTTCCGACAGTATACGTTTTGTTCTTGTTAGTTATTTATCGTTCATGCCAAGTAAACATATAAAATTGAAAGGAAAAGAGGGAATTATGTAAAATGTAAAGTTTATTTAGACTTTCATCTGTTCACTTTACACATTTCAATGGGAACAAGTAGAGATTTTGATGCTAAAGCATCAAGTCGCCGGATAGAAAAATGATTGTATTATCATAAATATAAGAAAATATAAGTTTAATGGTTCAAGTATAAAAATAAGAGGAACAATGAGTTGAGTAATGTTTGCCACTGAGGCTTGTAAGGCAAGTGCTATATGTTGGTAATTCTTCTAGTAATTGTACTTTATACATATACTGTTGTACCATACATTGAAATCCGTATAGGTTACTAGTTCAGATTCAGATAATTACCGACAAATAATTACCGATCATCGAATATTTGCAAACTGACTATAAAAATATATATGTTTAATTATTTCATGAAACAATGCAATTTTACTGTAAAAGTCTTGTACATCATTAATATGTGCTATCGAAAAAATGTATTCCCATCGTTACATACGATATATAAAATTAACGTTTAATTGTCTTTCAGTGCAATAACCTATCAACACAAAGATAGTTTTTTTTCTATGTATTTAATACGATTCCGGAACCCTACCGTCATACCGTTTTGGAAACCTGCGTGACAGAAACCGACGGAATATACCCGAAATCAACGATTACCATATTGTGCCTCTTAAGCATAAAATTATTTTGGGATGTTCAACCTAAACTAAACTATTGAACTTTCTTGTCGAAAGTTTGACAGAACGGGCCAAGTTTAACCCTTTACCAAGAAGAAAGGAAAAGGTTTTGAAAATTTATTTTTAATGTATAAAATATGAGTAAACAGGTTTTTCTAATGGTATAAAGTATGAAACTGATTAATGAAAAATAACTTATGTAATTATCTGTACAAAATTACAATGATTTGCATCTTATCAGCTACCATACCTTTTTCTTATCAGCAATCTGTTACTATTAATAGATTTTATAACGATATACAGCATAATTATATAAACATGTAGTCACGTGATTCTTACGAAAGACCAGGGAGAATTTGTTTATAATTAGATAAAATAATGTAATATAATAGGTCTCATAAAATATAAACAACCAAATAATTTTAAAGTGTCATTTCAAATATCATTCATTATTTATATATATTTTAAAATAGAAATGCTTGACACATAGAAAAAAGTAAAAGTAACCCTAATATTCAATGACTGAGCCTTGGGGATACGTTATTGATTCATTTCATGAAAATTGTAATGTTGCTTTTTAAGATGTCAATATGTGTATATTTCATTTCACTGAGCAAAGTTATCATATGTTTGAATTTTTGAGATTACTGAAAAATAATTGTTGTCTTTAATTGTTCAATGATTGATATGTTTTTAATTTCAGATTTTAAGGGCTTCTCCTACCATAGGTATAATATTAAACTGTTACAAATATAGTCGCCGGTTTCTACCGGCGACTAATAAGATCACCTTACCGGGTCTTCAATTGTCATGTATTTTTTGCTTCGGAAGGATCATATTGTCGGGAATTGATAACGTCATTTATAGCGCCTTGTATAACGTGACGTTCCGCGCTTACGTTAACGTCACTTCCGACTTAACATTGTATTGTTGTTTATACTATATATGAATGTTGATCAGTAAAGGTCGAACCTGGAAACTACAACGCATCTTGTCTAGTTACTATACACCCCCACATTGTTGGTGCCGTGAGAAATTCTACAATCACAATGAATTTACAGAAGCTTATTTCTACTAGAGAGGGCCAGCGACGTCTTATTTCTAGACAACTGGAGAAATTTAACGACGAGTTGTCACATTCGGAGAAGTCAGCCCTACTCGAAATCATGGAAGAAAAAGCCGAGATTATCAAGAATCTCAACGATAAGATTGTTAATCATGCAGATATTGACGATTTGGAAACAGAATTGGTAGAGAGTGACGAATATTCTATTGATTTACGTTTGAAACTACGAAAACTGAAGGAAGATATCACCAAATCTAATTACACTGGCAGCGGCAGCGTGATCCGTAATTCACAGGACATTAACGGTAGTGCTAGAACTTTATCAAGTGAGAACTTTTCTAATCACAGCCACAGAGTGTCGTCTGATAATTCATCTTTTCACAGACTACCTAAACTGAGTTTACCTACGTTTGATGGAGATGTTGAAAAATGGCAGTCATTCTGGGACTCGTATGAGGCTGCTGTACATTTGAACCAAACACTATCTGATGTCCAAAAGTTCAACTATTTACGTTCCTTACTACAAGACGCTGCATATACCGCCATAGCAGGTTTTCCATTAACTAACGGAAATTACCAGAATGCAATAGATTTGTTACAAGAACGATTCGGACAGTCTCATAAAATAATAGATAGTTACATGCAGTCGCTTTTAGATTTGCCGATACCAGATAACAGTGTAACGAGTCTACGCAGGTTTCACGACAAAATGGAAAACTACATCCGGGGTTTAGAATCTTTAGGTGAGAGTCAGGGTTCCTATGGTGATTTATTGATACCCATAATCATGAAAAAACTTCCCTCCGAAGTACGACGAAATTTAGCACGAGAACACGGAAATGTACGATGGCATATACAAGATTTGAGAACTTCTATCGCCAGAGAAATAAACATCCTAGAAATGGGCATAACTGACGAAATAAGAGAATCACACTTGCCGACGGCATCATTATTCACCGGAACCGGAAAGAAAAAATACCCATCTAAGAAATTTTCGCACACAAGAGATAATGATAGGGGTAAGAAATGATGTTTGTTCTGTGAAGGTGACCACAAGTCGCTTGATTGTGAAAAAGTTAAAACACGTGAAGAAAAACTAACTATCATTAAAGCTAAACGTATGTGTTATAATTGCCTGGGAAAACACCAAGTTTCAGAGTGTCGTTCTAAGTTTCGGTGCAAGAAATGCCAGCGAAAGCACCATACTAGTATTTGTGACCAACCATCGAATTTCGATTTGAATCCACATGCAACATCATTTATAAGCTCTACTTCCGGTCAAACAGGAAATACAGGAACTGCCATTCTTCATTCAACGACGCATGAAAGATCGAACATTCTACTCAAGACTGCTATCGCTCAAGTAAGCTCCCAAGACCATACCATAACTAATACAAACATATTATTTGACGAAGGTGCTCAAAGGTCATTTATTACGGAAGAGCTTGCTGAGAAACTGAAATTAAAACCCAACGGTTCAGACACTATATCATTAGCATCTTTTGGTGGCAAATCAGAACAGTGTCGTCATATACCCACAGGCAGAGTGTTTCTACACGTCGAACATAGAGAGATAATACCAATTGACGTACTTATTGTACCAACCATTGCTGTACCATTACCTAACTTGCAGAGAAATGTGAAATGTTTGAAATATATCGAAGGTCTTAAACTTGCACATCCTATTACCGACACTGACGACGATTTCGAGATATCACTCTTGATTGGAGCCGACTATTTTTGGCAAATCGTGCAGAATAAGGTTGTTAGGGGCAACGGACCTACGGCAGTGAAATCAAAGATCGGTTATTTACTGTCAGGACCTCTTCCGGAAGTTAAAAATGCGTCGTCTGTTAGCTATATGTTTAATGTTGTAACAGCGCCACCTAATGCCACAGATCTTGAGAGATTCTGGAAGTTAGAATCTATGGGGATATTAGAAGATGATACTGAGAAATCTACTTCTGGTATACTTAACGAGTATAAAGAAAACTGTATCACGTACAAAGATGGACGTTATGTTGCAAAACTGCCCTGGAAAGAAGATCATTCCGTACTTCCTACAAATTACGAAATTTGCAGAAAGCGTACAGAAAACACAATTAAACGGCTTTCAACAGAACCGGATATACTTAAAAACTATGGACAAATCATAGAAGATCAGTTAAAACGCGGTTTTATTGAAAAATGTGATAAAAATGTTACCACACCAAACCCTGTACATTATATTCCACATCATTATGTAAAGAAGGACTCGAACACGACACCTATCCGCATCGTGTATGACTGCAGTTGTAAGTCACGTGACCAGCCTAGTCTGAACGATTGCTTGATGTCAACACCACCTGAACTGAATGATTTAACTGGAATTCTTATTCGTTTTCGAATGAATAAATACGCCATAGCAACCGATATTGAGAAAGCTTTCCTCAACATTACTCTTGACGAGAACGACCGAGATGTGACGCGATTTCTATGGCTCAGTGATCCTAGTAACCCCAACAGCGAATTGACAACATATAGATTCCGAGCAGTCCTTTTTGGGGCTACGTCGTCCCCTTTTATTCTCTGTGCAACAATACTTAAGCACCTTGAACTTAACAACGACAAGAAAGCTAGCGAATACCTACGTCAAGATCTATACGTTGATAACGTGATATCAAGTTTCCAACAGGAAGAACAACTTCTACAATTCTACACCGAGTCTCGTGAGCTAATGTCATCTGCAGGTTTTAACCTTAGGTCCTGGAGTTCAAACAGTAAAATGCTTCAAAAACAAGCAATCAACGATTCAGTAATAGATAATGCACAAACTCCTAAGATACTTGGAATGAAATGGGACACAAATAGTGACGTTTTACTGTATCCGGTCAGAAACATACCAAATACCCAGATTGTAACAAAGAGAGAAATATTGCAGCATACATCTCGAATCTATGATCCCTTGGGTTTACTAAGTCCAGTTACCATCAGAGCTAAATTACTTCTACAGGAGTTATGGCAACAGAAGTTTGAATGGGATATGCCATTACCTGACAGTATTCAAGAAAAATGTCATAGTTTAATAACAGATTTGAATTCCGTGACAAAAACTACGTTTCCTAGATACTACTTCGAAAATACATTAAACGCATCAAGAAACACGTGCATTCACATATTTTGCGACGCTAGCTTGGTATCGTATGGTGCTACGGCTTACATCTGTAGAGACAACCAATCTACTCTTGTAATGGCTAAAACTCGGGTTGCTCCATTGAAGAAGTTAACATTACCAAGGTTAGAGCTAATGGCGGCAGTAATTGGATCCCGACTCAGTAAACACCTGCAGCAAAACACCAGCATAACACAGATATACCTTTGGTCAGATAGCCAGATTGTGCTTTCTTGGCTTCAGACGCCTAAAACCCTTCCGCGATTTGTAAGAAACAGAGTGATTGAAATCCACGTGCAGTCCGAAAACCGGAAATGGAATTATTGTCCGACGAAAGAAAACCCTGCCGATTTACTTACGAGGGGTATCTCTGTGACTCACTTCAAGAACAGTAATCTATGGTTTCATGGACCTACATGGCTTACCACACCTGACAGTTGGCCAGTTTGGCAAGAAAAAGATATTTACGTTACCATGACAACGTTTATTGACCCAGCAACCAAGCCAAAAGATACAATTTTACCATTAAGCAATATCAGTTTCATAGACATGTCAAGATTCAGTTCCTTAAGAAAGCTGCTCAGGGTTACAGCTTATGTCCTGCGTTTTATATTCAAGTGTCGAGGCGGGAGTCATACTGGAAGATTGGACTTGTTAACTACAGACGAACTACGCAGAGCTGAGGAGATGTGCATACGGAGTTGCCAGATGTCCAAATATCAAGCAGAAATAGAAGATACAAAATCAAAAAGAAACAAACTTCCATTATGTAGACAACTTCAGTTATTCTTAGACAATGGCATATTAAAGTGTCGTGGTCGTATCCACAATGCTCCATTAGACGTACTTACCAAGTTCCCGTACCTACTACCAGCTAAGCATCCTTTTACAAAGTTAGTTGTCAACGACGCACATTCTAGATTATTGCATGCCGGCGTTAGTTCAACTATTACGTTTTTAAGGACAGAAGTACTGGATTCCCTCGATTCGTCAAACTGTTTAAAAACATTTTACGTAAATGTACATATTGTGTGAAGGTTATTGGGAAACCCTATTCAGCACCTGACCCACCTCCATTACCAAAGTGTAGAGTTTCTGACGTCAAACCCTTTACTTATACAGGAGTAGACTTCTCTGGAGCATTACTGGTTCGGGATAGTAACAAAAGAGACATAAAAGCTTACTTATGCTTGTTTACATGTGCTACTACGAGAGCAGTTCACCTAGAACTTGTTTCAAACCTATCAACAGAATCATTCCTACAAGCTTTCCGACGTTTCTGTAGCAGAAAATCTGTCCCTTACGTCATGATGTCAGACAACGCTAACACCTTCATATCAGCCTCAAAACAACTAAGAGATTTGTTTCACTCACTCACAGTTAGAGAAGAACTCAACAACAGAGGAATTGAGTGGAAGATGATACCTAAACGAGCCCCTTGGTTTGGTGGAATGTGGGAACGTCTCATAGGTCTGACGAAAACAACAATAAAGAAAGTGCTAGGACGTTCCTATGTAACCTACGAAACTTTACAGACTGTAATCACAGAAATCGAGGCAATGATTAACGATAGGCCGTTGACATATGTGTGTTCTGGTAATTCAGATGAACTGGAAGTACTTACACCATCACACTTACTTTATGGCAGACGAATAACCAAACTCCCTTATGAAGATGTCCTTTCATGTACATTCCCAACGCCAAGTGACCGTTCGTCAGTTATCAAACAGGCTACAATACAAACGAAGTTAATCAACCACTTCCGGGATAGATGGCGTCACGAATATCTGACAGCTTTACGAGAACGTCATCAGACTACTGGCAAAAATGACCAGACGATATCCGTTGGAGACGTTGTATTAGTCCACGACGATGTTCCCCGCTTATTATGGAAACTTGCTGTAGTTGAAGAACTCGTGCCAGGAAAAGATGGACTTATTCGAAGTGCTAAAATTCGAACTCAAAATGGACTCACAAATCGCGCAATTGTAAAACTTTACCCCCTCGAAATGTATTAATCTAAAATTTCAGAGGAAAGGTGATACATGAATAAGAGACTGTATTCAATATATTTATGACTGTTTCTTAATTAATAATACTTTATATGAGATACTATAGCAACTGTAGTGTTCAAATAATGGATTTATTACTAAACTTTAAATAACATTTCGCGCCCCGAGTATGTCGGGAATTGATAACGTCATTTATAGCGCCTTGTATAACGTGACGTTCCGCGCTTACGTTAACGTCACTTCCGACTTAACATTGTATTGTTGTTTATACTATATATGAATGTTGATCAGTAAAGGTCGAACCTGGAAACTACAACGCATCTTGTCTAGTTACTATACACCCCCACACATATTAATGGTTTATAGGCTCATAGTCGTTTTATCAACATTATATAACTGCTTTTGACTTGTGACTTGTGAAAATACTTTTTTCTGTAAGCTTGAAGCATCCTTTTTTATGGTTTTCATCATAGGGATGTTATATTCAGATATCCACCTATTTTTCCACGCTGCACTTGGAAAGATTACACATTTTATTGCAAATGCTAGTTCAAAGATTGTAAAAGAGATTATCACGATTGAAATAAAAAAGCAGGTATTTGGGATTAAATATGCTTTGATATTGTTAGGCGAGAAAAAAAGATATCTTTAAAAATAGACTACAATAACATTGGGAAATGATAAAATTGATTATCATTACTCCAATTATTTCTTTTTTAAATATCGCTTTTATCATCATTATCATTTTTAGTTTCATCATCATCATCATCATTGTCATAGTCATTACCAATATTATTATTAGGAAATGGTTTACGATCAGGCTTAAAAGATATAGGTTAAATTTATCATCTGTTTGGCTATGTTATGTTTCTTTATGTTCCAAATTTCAGAGAATTTCTTTCTCGTCACCCTCATTTTACAAATATACACAAAAGTTGTTGAAATTTTATCAGTTTAAATGTGATGATGAAATATTCTTCGGGTGTTTGTTGTTGTTGTTCTTTTTTATTTTTTTTATTCTTTTTTTTATTATTTTTTGAGATGACAAAATTAATGAAACTAAATTATCGGGAGACAATATTTTAAAATATTAAACTAATAATATATTTGGAATTATTTGACGTATAACCTATGAATATAATATGCAGAGAGAGCCAACACTAAGTAAATTATACTTTAATTGATAACATACTTAACTTTTATATGTTAACGGTTATGTTAACTTGAACTGCTGTTGCAAGAATGAATACTAGTTGAATACATAGGAGTATCCAGTTTTGATCGGAGTTGAAATACATCGATTATAATATTGGACTCTCTATTCAGGAGGCATTATAAATAAGACAAAAGATATCATTGTAATGTATCAAAAACAGTCTAGATATCCTGGAGCCTTCTAGTATATTTAGAAACATTCAACATATAAAGTATATTTATTTTCATGAAGAAAATAATACCATCTTAAAATTGGTTCTGGTATTCTTAAACATCCAGCATGATACGCATTATGAAGAGCTAATGGTTTGTTGTTGTTTTTCTTCATATTGTCTGAGTACTTTTGTATTAAAATTAGTGTACATTCTCTGTAACTTAAATTTTGCAACGTTTACAAATAGTTGAATGTAAAAATATGGAAATAAGATCAGGGGAATTCATATGTTTCAAGTGTTGCTCGAAGATGTCTAGATGCGTCAATAAAAGTCTTTTCATTTATAGGTACAACTAAGTAAACAAGATGTGATTATAGTTAATGCATATACAATATTTTCCTGATGATAATTTTGTCTATCTTTAGTTTTTATTACACATTGAATATTGCAAATTAACATATTTTTCCGTCGGAAATAAGTAATCACATTGAATAAGTGTATGTTCTATTATAACAGTGATACTCATAACAAAGTGACGTTGTTCAAAAATAATGATAAATACATGCTAAGACCTCTAGGTTGGTCCTTTAGGAGCATTGATACCAACAAGTTCAGTGTTGAAAATTAAAAATTGCTGACGCCGGTGGTAGATGGGCGTGAGGGATGTTGCATTTTTTTCAATTCTCCCTCATGAACAGAATCAATCCAACCGATTCTGTAATTTACTTCTATTTTGTTGTAATGAATACTTCCTAGGGAACAACCCATTTTTCAGATTTATTTGCATAGTTTGTATATATAAATTAATTAGCCTGATACATTATGTGGGTTGAAGTTTATGTCTGTATTTACAAAGATATCTACAACTGATAAGGTTCTGATAAAACTATATAATTTGTCTGCGTTATATGACTGTCATGTTGAATTTAATGGAAAATAGCTTATAACAATAGCTCTCTTATTTCTGTTGAAAAAAAATGTACGTTGGCAACAGACTTGTTTTATTATAAACGTTTACCGAAAAAATCGGAAACATGTAAAATAAAAGGTGACAAGAGATTCAAAGAGGGTTTGTTTGGTTTCATGGTTTTCAGTATTGTATTCGTATTTGTTAACCTTCGTTGAAACTCATGTTTATTCCTATTTTGGCTGATGAAATCGGATTCTTTATCAGTTTGTAATGTTAAAGTGGCATTATGCTTGTTTTGTCTTGTTGGTGTTTTTTTCGCTGTCAATTTAACTTCAATTGGTAATATTTTTTAAAAGATTCACTATTATAATTGTGATTGACAAATAATTGAAAATGATAATGTTTGGATAAAGTTTTAATAAAATTTAAAGACTGTCCCATTCGTTTTAAAAAATTTAACATTGCGATACATTTTAAACGATATTTATAAATTTTTCTCTAGGTCACAAGGAGTATTGATGTTTGTGAAAAAATTTGTTTCTTAAATGACCATAATGTGCAAATTGGCAGTTAAACCCAAACAACCAAAAAAAAATCCTAAATGTAACATATTCATTTTCATTTAAAATATATGAGAATCTATGACTACTCGTATATGAGATAATCAGTAACAAAATCTGCTTTATTTAATATCACATATCACAGCTAGCTCTTTATTAAACAGGCATTGTTCAGTAGTTAAACCTTATCTTTCAATGTCAGCAAACGTTGCGAATTTATCTGTTGTTTTATTGCACTTTATTGCACTTTTGACATTTACAAGATCGGAACTAAAACTGGCAGTTAATCTTATACAGTCCTATGCTAAAATGCTTTTAACAGGTGCTTTGTTAATTTTCTGCTATTCTTTTCTGTTCGAATTCCCAGAGTGGATTTCCTCCTACGAAACAATATTTTAACGGAAATAAATGTATTCAGTATACGAGTGTTTTGGAATTAATATTTGAGGATTGGTGAGATAGTTTTATTTCTAAAAAAATGTTGCTTGTTGTGTTTTTGTTGTTGTTGTTGTTGTTGTTGGGGTTTGTTGTTGTTGTTTTTTTTTGTCAGTTGTTGAAATTGTTTTGGTATAAAATGAACAGCCTATATATAACCATAAAAATGAGCAAAGATTTAAGAATTAACTGATCGAACTGATAATAATTTTAATACCAAAATCGTTATAATACTAGAATTCTGATGTAAAAAATTACTTTGCCCAAAATAGTTATAATCCTGCTACCTTTTGTTGTACAAGGATATTTTTAATCATATCTAAAAAGGGCAGATAAAATTTTACAAAATTATTATACTGACAATTTCACAAAACTGTTTCGTTGAATAAAATTAATTATCACAATGTGTTCGGTTATATTTTGAAATAACAACATCAAATGAAAAACTGATTAACAGGATATAGAGCCCATTAATTCGGTTATAGGTGACTGCTTCGTGAAATTAGAAAATATTATATTCTATTTGTTATTCATTGTTTTACGTTATTGAAATTATAGCTCAATATATTCTGCAATCTTTGACTATGTGGTGGCACCACTAACTTGTTTTAAACGTATCGACACAGTCACTGATATGAATAACAAAAAAGTGTAAAAGGGAATAAAAAGATACACAGGTGGAAAAAATGGAAATGACAAATAAACAAACAAAGCCGATATTTATATATTTTAGATGTGTTGTTATTCAATGGCCGATTTTGAGGTAAGTTTATGTATATCTAATACTTACTCTGCTGAAAGCTGTTCAAACGGTATTCGTAGCCATTATGCCTCAGAAATCAAACATGCATTAAATAATGAATGTTTAAAGATGGATTAAGTGCATGTTAAATGTTAAGCAGCACTGAGCATGCTGTTATGTATCTTAAAGGTATTGTTGGTCATTTTTAACAATCTAAACTAGAACTCCGCGAGTCGGATGTGTCGCCTTGTGAACGGTATAGTTGTCACTTAGGCATTTTCTTCTAAAATATAGGTTATTTGTAAACACTTCTCTTTCAATGTACATGTACCTTTAACTTTAGTGGCATGCATTTGCACTGTTTGTAACAATGCTGCATGAGGATTCATAAAACTTCTATATTATCAAAAATAGAAATACCATGGACAAATTTGACACTGAAAGATCAAATGGAGGACCCTTTGATGAATTCTTAAGCTCAATGAAAAAAGCTTACATACCAAGATTGGGGTCAATCAAACTTTTAGTGACCAGGTTATGCTCTGGACAAGTCTATAAAAAAAGAAAAAAAAACAAAGGGGAAAAACCAAAAAAACATGAAATGATACATTTTTCAATATTTTATTATGAAGTTTCGCAAAAGCTTTTAAAGTGTAGGAGATTTGGCCCGGACAAAAATAAAGTATTATAATTAACAAAGGACAATAACTTTAAAATCATTAAGTACAGAGTACCGGTTCTTGTGCACTGCACATCTTCTGAAGTTTCAAGTCCATAGCTTTTATAGTTTCTGTAAAATGGCCGGGACAAAAATAAAGTATGAAAATTATCACAGGACAATAACTCAAAAATTAAGAAGTGCAGAGTAACGATTCTTGTGCACTGCACTTCAGGTAATTGAAAGAAGCATGCATGCCAAGTTTAGAGTAAACCTTACTTATAGTGACCGAGTTATGCTCCGTACAAGCCTAAGGGGACTCCGCCGCCGA